ACATTGGCCAAGGTGCTTCCACCAGGTCAACAAGGTGTTAAAATTCCTCGGGGAGTCGACACTGCCAAATTCTGGCAGGTTATCGAAGAGTGCATTGAGCGAGCAGATGCAAAAAATGCTGCTCTTGCGCTTGCGAAGTAGTTTCCAGGGAAGAGTCAAGGTGCTAGAGTAGAATAAAACCTGCGCGAACAGGATTAGATGGTTGGACGACATACTGCGTCATGATAAATCTATCAAGTCTTGTTATAGTCTATAATTCATTGGGGGGTGGTCTCCTTACTGCCCGAATCCCAATCGAGCATCAAATTCAAGCTCTGTTCATATGTCCAGAGAGTGACGGCGCTCGCAGGGGCTGATTTGAGAAGACTGATAGTCAGGCCCTTGTACAAACCGCGGAGGCCTTCTGTGCGTAATATCGTTAAAAGTGCACCCCGTGCCGTGGAGTACTCGGGAATGTTTTGGTAGATGTATTGCTGTCGCGCTGGTCCCTGCACCTGAATACGCTTGCGTACAAGATCGAGAGGGAATACGGCTGTTTTGGATAAAATGCTGGCACACATACCAGCAGTAGCATCTCCGCTCCCCCATGGCATGTGTAATCCCTCTAGAGACGTTCTAAGGGATTCATAAGTGACGAAAAAGATGCCCATGAAGGGTATGATTTGGCCGAGCCCAGGCCCAATACCTCTAAAAAAGCCCCGCCAACCCTCATCGCGTTTGATATCCCAGACGGCACTGCGCAGTGATTGGTAAACACGGTGTCGACCCTGAGCTGCGAATCGTGTTCTTAACAAATCGAGAGGATATGTGACGGTGGTGGCAGCAGCACCAGAGGCAGCACCAGCAATAAAACTTTCGGCAGCATCGGGCAACCTTGAGGGAAATGCCGTTCGAAGGAAAAGGGTCGCCGAGCGGTATGTTGTGAATTGTATGGCACCATAGCATACATACATAAGCTCCGCAGGAACATTGCCCTTCCACAGGCCTGTCAAACCTTCATGCTTGAGGATGTGTTTCAGGGTTGCGAATGCTCCTCGATAAGCTGGTGCGTTGCGCAGAGCTGCTACAGGATCGGACAGAGAATGAGGCTGGAGTTGGAGACGGATCTTGACGACGTCGAGGGGGGCAACGACGAATCTAGAGATTAGTTAGTATCAGTACTGACTACCATTGTTCAAAGAGGGCTGGTGATAAAAGAAGCCTACCTAGAAACCAAACCTGCTATTGCTCCTGCAGCGACGACTTGGACCCTCGAGCCCTAGTTCCCAATGTCAGCCAGCAGCCCGAAGTAATCCAGAACCAACACCCTACCTCATCCTTAAGGTGCCCTTCTTTGTGCGACATGCATTCAACTACAGCCCGGAAGGACCACAGGCAGAAGAGATGCTTTCTATGTCGAACGGTCTTTGCTACAGCCTACGAGAGGTTGCAATTCGAGAATGCAGAAATCGACGGTGTTGATGATGTGTCGGTTGAGCGCAATGCGAAGTCGCTCAACGTTGATGGGCCAAGTTGCTGATAAGTAAAATAATGCAACGTTTGGCGGAGATAGATGCCCGTGGCAGGATTGGTAGATGATATGGGCTACGCTTTTGCAAATTGTCGCCAATTGTCATTCGAAGATTCTAATGGAACTTGTTTGGATCGAAAATGCTCTAGAGCTTTCTTCGAGGAGCGTATTCGTCAAGTTAGTATTCTAGGTATCAAGGGAAATAAATCCGTGTTCAGATTGGCTAAAACTTACCCTTGATTACCTTCAAGCTCATGATGGAATTTTTTGTGCGACGGCATGATTTCCTAATGTCGATTGCGGTTTGCGACGGTTGTTAACGGTAGAGACGGCGCCACCGTTTTGCGCGGGATTCCATCTTTGGATCAATGGCTCCTGATACTGCTGAAGGAGATACGAGGTATTTCTCTTGCAGAAAGTAAATCTGGCATTCAGTGAATAAACGATCTACAATAGAACTAACCAGCCTCGGGGTCTCTTGCACCGATGGACGAGGAATTCATCATCCGAGCCGATGGAGATCTGGCCGGAACAATAAACGATAACCTCAAGGGTCTGGGCCAGGTTCCACGGCTTAGGCCGCTGGAACTACCCAACCAAACAGAAGTTTGGCATTGTCACCCTGAAGTTGCATGTGTTGATACTGGCATATGTGCAAGATTCCAGGCAATATAAAGTGCATAAAGCACATAAAGTACTATCTTGATGAGCTATGAGCATGGAAGAAATCGCAAAGTTGTTCGTAGACGAGCTGCAAGGACCAGTCTCAATACCAATCATGACTTCAACAACGTTAATTCTAGGAAGCTCGGAGTAAAACGTGGGGTTCCCGTCTCCACACCATGATGAACTACCTTAGCTTAGGTACGTTACTACTATCCCTACCTACCTCAAGGATAGAAAGAAAACTCGGGACTTCGCTCCTAATTGACAACAGGATTCAGGTATATTAGCACAACCTTAGGATGCCTTTTTATGAGTTTGTTCTGACACCCTACTTCGAATCCTGATGTTCTCTTGCTCTCGAGGGACAAAGAAAAAAAAAAGCCTCTGGAGGCATTCCGGGCATCTTGGTAGGTAGGTACCTACTAAGGTAGCCTCCATTGCTCCGGCCTAGAGGCTGCTCCTCAAGCTGCTGCTCCGATGCCGTCATTGGCTAAGGCCATTTGAGACTGCAACCCCAGAACCACCTATGCTTGGAGACATCCGAGACCTCTCTCGGACAGAAGCACGCATGGGTATGGCACGTCACTTGCCTCTTTGATACCTCGTGCCGCACCGCCGACAACTCTTGCCGGATGCACATGCTCCTCCGGCTCTTATATTTCACCAACCCTCCCACTTCGATCTCACCTGTTCCCGAGTTAGGTACCTGATGTTCAGAGACTCTCGTAATATACTTCGTCTCATAGCGCAAATCCTGTTCTCCAATCTTTCCCTATCGACAACCCACCCTCTAGGCCCTCGATTCAACCAACGAGACTACTCCAGTCACACATAAAATTACACCCTTTACACAGTCCTCCCACGATACCCTCAACTCGGTCGATTTCGCATACATCTGTCACTGTGTACTCTGTAAAACGCGACCACAATAACGACACCTCGTCCAGCCTTGCGGCGCTCAATCTGTCATTGACAATGACCACCACGCAGCTTCCTTCGCCAGACACAACACAGCTTCTTGCTCCGTTTCTGCCTGCTCTCCCACCATCTGCTATCTCTACGGAACCTGCGATCGGTATTCTTCCGCTGTTGTCCCCCATACTTCGCCAGCGAGTCAAGCTTCTATCTGCATCAAGTACCGAGCCATGGATTCGACTTCTATGTTACGATAAGGCAAAAATACCCGAGCTGATTCAGATCGCGCAAGGCGGTGGCCTGGAGCCACATCCGGTATCGGGTGAGGTCGAGGTCGACTGGGATTATGATGCAGAGATACGTTTTCGTCGGGTCGACGAAGAGACTCTACAGGCTCTCGTTGCGCTCCCCACCCTGGGTTTGGCCTTCCAGTTGATCTACTGTGTTGGGGACGTTGAGGGAGGAGGCGATGGCTGGAGAGTTGGCGAGGTCACTGTAGCAGACAAACCCTCACCTTACGTGCAATTTGGGGGAGCGTCCAGCCTTGCAGAGGCCGAGAGACAGTTCAGAGAAACACAGGCGAAGAAGGTGACCAGCCTAACCAAGGACGTCAACGGCCACGCTCATGGCAATAGATTGCATGTTCCTCATAGTGGCCACGAAGAAGAGGAAGAGGACGACGATGATTACTGGGCACGGTACGATGCGACTCCATCCCGGACACCAGCGCAGAAACAATCGCCTGCACCTCCTTTAAAATCTACTTCTCAAATCGGTGGTGTTCGTACATCTTCGGCAGAGGACGCATATTTTGCTCAATATGACAGTGTTCAGCCTGCTATGGATAATCATGACCCGGATGAGGAAGAGGCTGCTGCGCAAATTGCTCCACCACTTGGACTCGGACGTACCCAAGAATCCGCCGAAGCCACAGAGCTTAATGAGACACAGGGCGCATGGACATTGGCCGAGGTCGAGAAGAGTGACTCAAGCCCGACACAAAACGGATATGATACGGAACGACACGCCGCTCTCCTTCACCCTCGCCCAGCCTCGAGCGCCAGTTCCAACGGCTCGGAAACAGTTGCTAAGCTTGAGGCGTCTGCCGGCAAACAAACACAAAACGAGTTCGGTGTAAAACAGCATGTATCGCGAAGTATTCGAAGCCTGTTCATGCTTTCGCGTGCTTCAGGCATTGATCGCCAGGAGTTTGAGAGCCTTGTTCGTGCCGAGCTCGATATTCTGGGCATGGTTGAGGCCCAAGAACAAGTCTAACATCTTTTCACCATAAATTTCCTATTTTCGCATAAAGAAATTGGAAGGCTTTTCTAGGCGGGGTCTTGCATCTTTTTCTACCCGGTATTTTTAACATGCATGTAAGGCGTTGGTTGTTAGGCATCTGGAAGGCAACTTGCGCATTGACAAGGTCTTCAGCCTTCTCATTTTACTTGGACGGAACTTGGACAGAGAGAATGTGTTGGAAAGTATCATGACAGAATCGCAAATGGTTCAATATAAAAGTTTCAGTTATCCGAGTCTCCTGGGTACAGTGACGATGTCGGTGATGACTATTCACCTTGTGCTCGGCAGTCCCCGGTCCATCGTTTGTGTCACTCCCGAGGCATGTCACAATAATACACGGTCTTTGATCTTGATAGAGTATGATCGTATTGTTAACGCATGCCGAAGCACTTCGCTGCTTAGGAGACCAAGTTTCCGCAAGTTGGGAAAATGCTGTATTAGATTGCGCTGACAACTCAGATATGAGCTTCCGAATCAATAGCCCTCACTTGAACTTACGAAAACTCCCAAATCTTTCACAAGCACCGCCCCGAGCCCTTTTTGGTTATTCATTTTCAGCTAATTCAGCCCCTAATCAAGCTTCTGGACCTTTCTGCGAATGTTCCACCTACGCGATAACTAGATTTTCTAGGGCAATACGTGCTGTCTCGAGGACTTTGGTACAATTGCGCTCTGCTGGAGAACAAGCCTTAGTCGGGTAAATAACTCCACGAGCCGCTTCATGTGTGTGCCCAGCAGCATGAAGTGCGTCGAGAGCATCATGTCTCTTTTTGCTTCTCTCCTCAAGTTGCCCAACGACATCTTTGAGTCCAAGTTGTCGATAGGTCATCGCGCCTGGGATCTCCTGGTCCTTCTCATCCAACCCGTAGACGTCGAGGCGCAGAAGTCCCCTGATTGTCATTCTCCACATGTCGGGAGGCATGTTCTTGTTGTTGTAGCTTTGATAAGTCGTGCAGCCCCTAGGCGTACCCCCAATGCAACCCCAGAGACCACCGATTTCTTTGAATGAAAACCAAAAGGTGCGTCCTTGCAGCTTGGCGAGCGCAGCCTCTTCATCTACCATTTCTAGAATCCTTGCGTAGGCATTGCATGCAGATGGTACCAGAGCGCCAAGAAGCATGAGGTTCTGGAAGGATTGTATGGGAGGAGGCTTAGTGGGTTCGTCAAGCAAAGATGCAGAACAGACAGTGCATCTGATAACGTCGTGAGCAACTCTGGATGCATTCCGTGCGACTTTCATGGCCGGTATGACCTCAGCCGGCAGATTTCCAAGAGACTCGAGAGCTAAATAAAGTGATGATAAACAACCGCAAGACACTGTAGGTACAGGTCGCATAGATGGAGTCGGCGTTCTAATCACACTCTCAGTGGATTCAACAGAGGCATCAGTTTCGCTAGAGTCAGGTGGTGTCGGCGTGTCCGAGTTCTGTTTTGATCCTGGGTTTGAGGATTCAATCTGATCTGCTAGGTACTGCTGAAGTGTGTTGCTGAGTTCCATCGAAATTGTTTCTTGCGGAGCGTCTGTCTCGCCAAAATTGATGCTACCGAGAAGGTCGACACCACTCAGATCCAATGTAGGCAATGTCGCATTGTCAACGAGTAAGCCTTGCGGTTCCACGATCTGCGGATTGAAAGAAAACATGTCATGGCTAGATTGCAAGTCCCATGTATCGGCATTTGCATTAGCTGGATCGTCCAGGAAGTTGAGATTAAGAAGCAAATCCCCGGTGGTTTGCGTCTGATTCTGGTGCTCATAGGAGATATTATCATCTGGCTGGTGAAAAAGAAGGGCTTCCTCTGGAGGCTGGGAGATGGTCGGTGCTGGTAGAGTTGCCTCATCATCCACATCCACATGTCGCCTCTTTCGGGGACGGCCCATTTGCTTTTGCGGAGAATAGTAGCATATTATTCCCTCCTTTTTACACCGAGAACAGCCATCGGGTTCTTTGGAGCATGCGAGTTTTCGGGATCCTAATGACCGATAAGTCTCCAATTCGGACATACCATGAGACACTCACGGCATTCGTCACACGCCCTATGCTTTGTAACTCCATCGCCTGGTGCAGTTGGAGCCATTCTTCTTTCCAAAGGCAATTTCCGATACCGTATCTAAGCGGAGTCTCACTGCAGGCAACAATATTATTATATAGCAAGAGATTGTGATGTGGAACAATATCCAGAAGTCACAGTCAGCATGAGTCTTAGCTTACTCTCTAACTACGAATCTGACTAATGTTGTGACACTACAGACTACCTACCTACCCTTAATATGGAAGTAATAGACTAATTAGCTATAATAATAAACTACCCCAATCTTGCCAATCTGCCAATTTAACATCCAATTCCAGGGATCGACAACATATGTGGTTATAAGTGTGCTACCATAGCTGGAGGTTTTTCTTCTTCTTCTTCTTCTTCTTTAAATTATAGGGGAAAAAAACTATCTCAGTTATCTTCTTACCTTTAACGTTCTACTATAGCAGGCCAATATGAAATTACTGGTAGAAAACCACTGCGACAGTCTTTTCTGTACACTGGCTGATGTCTAAAAACACTCCTCTCCCGTTATCGTGGAATCTGAGTCCCTGAACTTGCTAAGAAGCACTGGCCTTTACCAGTGACAAGATGGCTCTCAATCACCACCACTAGTAAGTGAGTGCAAGTTAGCATGGATACCTTGAGGCATAATCGGCAATTAGCGGTTCAATCCTATCACCAGTAATACTAAAGAAGCGACTGGTTAAGTCAGTGATCATAATTATCTCTTATGTTCTTGGGACTCTCGAGACTGTAGCAACATGAGCCTGTCTAACGTCAGCAAGGACATGTCAGTTCAGCAAAAAGCAATTCTTTCGCGCGCTGAGAGAGATGCGGCTACGCAAATCAGGCTTCTGTATTCTTGTGCGCCCCTCGGCGATTACAATATAACCTACCTAGTTTTTGAGGCTTCGTTCACGGGTCTATGAGATAATAGCTCTTACTTGGTCCAGAAAAAAGACTTCCCCACTGTCTCATCACCGCCAAAATATTTGGGTACAATCCATGACCCTTTGATTTGGTGTTACCTGTTTCTGTACTATGAAGAAGCGATAACCCGGAGGTACAATTTTAAACCAGGCTTCGTTCCTTTCTTCTAATCCAGAGACTTGTTCGGTACGAATTGTTTGTTGCATTGCTTGCCCGTTGCTTGCCCGTTGCTACTTTGTTCCCGCCTCGTGCAAATTGTCCACCAGCTTGCGTCATGATAGAGTGGTAGACGCCAATACAACCCTACGAGAAGCAGGCTTGCCGAAAAGTCCTGCAACTGAGAGCAAGCAGATTTGCCCCTGCATAACCCTCCGAAGTTGTCGGCGCAATGACAGTCACTCCTATGGCCAATCTTGGCAATATCGCCCGCGCTGAGTACAAGGCGCTATTCGATACTGAAGTTGCCAAAGGGATCAGAGAACCACTTGTTCTTCCTTTCTGTCTTTTCGGTCCTTTCATTTTGCCTGTCGTCTATTTGGCAATTCCGCATCGAAACCAGCCATGGCTTTACCACGCAAGATGGCTTGTCGTGGCTTTTGTCGTTGCGTTCGATGCTTATATGATTCGGTATATGTCTAGCTACAACGTCGCTCCAGCATATGCGTCAGGTCTCATGGGCGGATGGGGTATCTTGACGACTCTGAATCTTTTGGTTTGGACCGATCCGCAACTCAACTATGCCAGGGTTGTCAAGATTCTCAAGGGCAACAAGTCGCAACCATCGTCAAAACAGCTGCCCATCAATGTTGCCAACGGATCAAGCCAAGAAAGCGTGATTCGACAGCGAAAGCCTTACCACGAAGACGTTAGACTTTCAGGGGAAGCTGAAACCCATGCCAAGAATGGGAGCTCTAAAGATGTTGTTTACGCCTGGCAGAAATTTCCTGAAAACGGATCGTTCGGTGAACGACTTAACTGGACACTCGACCTTGCTACAAACTTTAGGGAAATCGGTAGGTTTGGAACGATTATCTAACACTTACGAGGAGGTTCCCGGCTAAGCTTTTTCTTCAGGCTGGAATCGTTCTATCTCTTCCGTGCCAAGACCAGATATCCCAAGCAATATCCGCGATGGTGATCCTGTATCCTTCGACAACATGCTCATTGTGTCTAAAAGTGGCTACTATCGTAATTTGACCGAGAAGGAGTTCGTATGGAGCCGTATTCGCAGAGTCCTCTTCCTCACTTTCCTTTTGGACCTTTGCTCTGTTACGATGGTCAAGGATCCCTACTGTGCCTATGGACCTGATCAAGAACTTGAGCTCCCTTTGTTCCTCCGGCAGCTTCCTCCTTGGTTGCGCTTCATCTATCGCGAGCTCCTTTGTCTTGTTGGCATCTATGCTGCCATCGATGCCATTTTTAGCTTGCATGACCTTTTTCAGTTCTACGTTTTCTCCTACTTTTATCCCATGCGAAGAGAGTTATGGCAGTACACCAACATCTTCGGTCCTATCTCGCAGGTGCTTGATAGAGGCCTTGCTGGTTGGTGGGGGGCGTTCTGGCATCAAACCTTTCGTCTCCAGTTTCTTGCGCCCGCAAAGTTCCTCGTTGACCATGGCTATCTTCAAAGGGGAACACTACGTGCTCAAATATTTACCATGTGTTTATCATTCATACAGTCCGGTTTACTTCACGCCGGTGGAAGTCTATCGTCTATGCCAACCACAAAACCCTGGAGAAGTCCGCTCTTCTTTGCCCTGCAACCTCCTGGCATCATCTTGCAGCTTATTTTGCTGCAGACTTGGGACAAGCATTTCCCCAACTTCCCTCGAAGACTCCGCCAGGCATTCAACATGGTATTCACTCTGGGCTGGCTCTGTCTGACCGCGTTTTTCTTTACCGATGATATTTCATCTTCGGGTATTTGGCTTCTGGAACCTGTGCCGATTTCCCCCCTGCGCTGGCTTGGTTTCGGTCACCCAGATGATCATTGGTGGCGATGGAGGAGATATATGTTCCCGATCTGGCATGCAGATAAATACTGGTGGAAGAGTGGTATACAACTTTGAAGCCAGGTAAAGAAAACATGTTTGTCAGACAGCCGCCATGTTTGACAATCAAGGGGCAAGTCGACCACAATGTACATCCTAGACTATTTTTCGTGCACAGAGGAGAAACGTTATTAGAGATAGATCATTTGGAACATCTCAACTGGATTTACTATTCGCCTAGCTCATGAAACTCGCAGGAGCTCGTATTTTTGGCCCGAAGCAAGCCTATCAGCTTCATTTCGAAGCCACTTCACAACAGGCTGATAGTTGGTCTGCTTTGCTGCCAATACCTCCTCAAAAGCAAGGCACGCATTTCTATCACTATTAGGACACTGCCAAGGGACGGCACGGTGACAAACACTTACAGAGCAACTTGCGATTTTCGCACGTCGCAGATGTACTGGGGATATCTCATCATCCGAGATCTGCTAGTCAAGAGCAGGAAGGCAACGTCGATCACTTTAGCGATTGTTCCTTGAAAAAGATCAGACATCAAAGCAGCCGCATGGTGAGTTTGAGCAACCTACGGAGTATCATTTCACTGCTCGGTTGCTGTGTCTTTCCGAGACAACGCAGGTAAGCGTACATTTTACTCGCAGTCTCAACAAAAGTGTTTCGAAGCGAGTTGAAAACGGTTCGGTTTGCATTATGGGACGTGTCATAAAACATCAGATGAGATTGAATCTTGAAAGCGTCTTTATGGTCATAGGAGCCTTGGTTAGCAACTCTTTGGGTTCGTGCGGTACGGGGGACTAACTTAGAACTTTTCGCTGGAAATTCTGACCAGGTGTGCGGCCGAAGTCGACAGTCAGAGAAGCAGATACATCTTTCTAGGTGTAAGTACTGGTTTTGGATTGTACTAGAAGCATGACTCTTGGACGTACCAATATTTGCATCCCTGTCTCTATCCTTGGTGATATCAAGTGTCTTGCAATTTATAGTGGTTCCGCAGTAGGGGAAGCCTTTCTCATGATTAGACTTCTGCACGGGCTCACCATCATATAGCATGTCAAAGTTGACCATAGTCTTGGTCGGGTTGACCGCAACGCCATACTCAGGAAACCCCACATGCATAGCATTGACAAACTTGATCGCCTTTTCCTGGTCTTGCGTGATTAGAAGAAAATCGTCAACGAGGCGTAAGAGTAGGCAGTCTGGCGAACGAAGGAAGTCCAGATGCTTAACTTCAAGGTCAGCATAGAAATAATTGCATAAGAATGAAGACAACACAGAGCCTTGAGGAATTCCGATTTTCTGTCTGTAGTATTTCTTTCCAATCTTGACAAGATTATGCTCGACATGTTGCCTGAGAAGATGCATCAATTCTCCAATGTTTTGAGTATTGCGTAAAGCGCTGCCCACAAAGACAGTGTTTTTCTTGTTGAGAGCCAGGTTTTGCTCGAGCTGTGTGATGAAATCTGGGTTTTCCTTCTCACTCAAGGCTGTTGCATGCCATCGACGAATAGCTTTGGACGAAGACTTGTCGTCAGCTACCGCTGCTCGTTCCCCAGGCTTCACTTCTGCGTGTTTCATGATCGTATATTTCGACTGACTTGGCACGGACTTCATCAGACTGACAACTGCCTCTTGTGGGATGGTATCGAAAGCAGCCTTGACATCAGCCTTAACAAAGTACAATTTACCATATTCAGCGCCCAGAGATTGCTTGAATAGCTTCAGTCGGGTATAAATATCGCTGACGGAGAACATAGTTGAACCCAATTTGGACGGGTTGATCCTCTGTGTTTCGGGTCAGCTTCAACCCCCGAATGTTTGATACCTCACATACCTTCTCTAGCTTCAGAAACGAATGCACGGGACCCAAGATAGTGTTTATACTGCGCCCAAGCTTGCTTGAAGG